GTGTGGCGGCTGCCAGAATCTCCTTCCTTTTTTAGGATTGGATAACGTTCCACTGTGTGGCTGGACCCCATTTCCTTATCCTTCAGTGGCCGGTCGCTTGGGTTGCTTCCACCTTGTAACTGTTGTGAATAATGCTGCTGTGCACATGGCTGTACAAACATCTCTGAGTCCTTGGTATCATTTCTTTTGAGTGTAGACCCAGAAGTGGAATTGTTGGATCATATGGTAATTTTATGTGGTAGTTCTATTTTTAAGTTTTGAGGAAGCTCCATACTGTTTTCCACAGCAGCCACACTGTTTTCTGTTCCCACCAGCGGTGCCAAGTTCTCTGTTTCTATAGAGTTATTCTATTTCTATGTTCCAATTTCTCTACAGCCTCAGCAATACTTGCTATTTACTTGATTTGACAGTAGCCACACTATCAAAATACATGTGAAGTGCTGCCTCATTGTGGTCTAGATGTGCATCTCCTGAATGATCAGTGATGTGGAGCATCCTTTCATGTGCTGATGAGCCATGGGGGTGTCTTCTCTGGAGGAGTGTCTGCTGAGACTCTCTGCCCACACGAATTAGGTCGTGTGGGGTTTTTTCTTGAGTTTTGAGGTGTCTGTATCATGGGTATTAATTCCTTATTAGATAAATGATTTGCAAGCATTTCTGGCATTCTTGGGACCCTTTCCCCGTTGATAGTGTCTTTTGATGCATTTTTAAATGTGCATCAAGTTCAAGTTGTCTGTTTTTTCTTTTGTTGTTAATACCTTAATTTTTTATTGTGTATCTTTAAAAAAAACTTTTTTTCTTATAGGTAAAAATAATAAATGCTCAATGTAAGCAAAAACAAATACAGAAAATCATAAAGAAATAAATCAGAATTATCCAGATGCCACTATCCAGGGCTATTTACTGGCACCATTGTGGACTTGGGCAGTGGGCTTGGTGCCCTCTTACCCCTGTGTGCCATCCATGCCCACCAAGTGACCAGACCATAACCTGGTAATTTTCCTTGCAGCTGCCCACAGGGAGAGGCTGCACAGTTCATGCTGAGTGGTTTAGTCTGCATGATACCAGTTATGAGTCTCATTATAGATCAGTTAATGACTGGCTGTTTTTAAAAAAGCTGCAGATACACTGTGCTGATGAGGAAAGAGCCCTGGGAAGAAGCCTGTGTGACCTGCCGCTGACCCAGGACAGGTAGTAATACATATGGGGCCTGAACGTGGACTCTGGATCCCAGTCACGGTTAAGTAGGTTTTTTATTCACTAAGAACAAAACTTTAGATGTTAACTGTATTAAAGACTGAAGGATTATAGCTTTTAGTGCTAATACACCAAATGAGGAAAAAATTAGGGTGACTTTAATTAAATAAATTTGTGTTAAAAATAGGCATACTTTCTTTGAACTTGAGAGCCACACTCAGGACAGTTAAGGAAACATCAGACGAGTCTGTTCAGCCTCTGCTGGGGTACAGACCAGGCTAATGGGAGCGTTTGGGCCGAGCAGTTCTGAGTAGGGACGTTCCGGCTGCAGCCGTTGCTCTTGGCCTCCAGGATGGGTGCCTCTGTTGTGTTGGGCCAGAAGAGCCAGGAAACCCATACTCATTTGTGACAGATTCAAAAGCCAGAGTCTGAATTTCCAGGGGAGCATGATCCCTGTTGGCCAGATTGAACTTTGAATAAGAAGAAATGTGTATGTATGACTTGAGTCCATGGGAAGAGGTGGGAAGAGGTGGGAAGATGTGGCCATCGTGCAGGCATGTCCTATCTGATGACAATTAATGCATAAATACTTTTTATGGTGTCCCACTCAGTTCTAGGAAAGGAGCTATTGATGAGCACAACCATGCGTATGAATCTCAAAGTGCATACTGTGTGATTGCATTTACACAATGTTCTAGAAAATGTAGACCAGTTCATAGTGACAGCAAACAGATCAGACTGTGGAAGGGCAGGGAGAGGATGCCCCAGGAAGCTTGGTGGGGGATGGAGATGCTCATGTCTGATGTGGCAGTGGTGTCTGGGGCACATACATACATACATGATGTCTGTCAAATCATATATTTGAGTAGGTGCAGGTTATTGTGCATTACTCATATATCAGGAAAGCTGCTTAGAAGAAAGTGTACTTTAATGGTAGGAAAGCTGAGGGTATGTGTGTGTGGTGAGCTTGACTTTTGGGGTCAAATTCAGATTTTGGAGACTTGAGTGCAGCTATTGGTCTGATACCTCTGAGCATTTCCCCCGGCTGTCTGGGTCTGTGCTGTCCCCTGACATTGTGTGCGGAGGGTGTGAAACTACGTATGTATGTAAGATGCTCATCTGAGTGCCTGGCAGCACCCAGATTAGGTAAGAGCTTATTCAGTGGCAGCTGCTATTAAAAAGATATTACCAATATGTATATTGTTATTATCCTAAAAATATTAGGCCACGTCTTCCCTTGCAGTTAAACTGAAGTCTTAACTGAATTAGTAGTAAGGAGGGTCATTTGATGCAAAGCATTGCAGACACAGGCCTGTGCTGCTGTGGTGCACCGTGGCAGGGCTGAAAATCAGCAGAGGAGTGTGGTCATCAGGCCTGGTGGCTCCCCGGCTCTCAGCCCTGGGGTATGTGAATGGCAGCACCACCCTCCTCCTGTGGCTTTGCCTGTGTCCATGGCTGTGACTCTGGGTCTGCAGTGTCTCCTCTGCTTGCTAGTCTTGACCTTAACATTGGAACCTGGCCACTCAGTCACTGAACGTTTTAAGTTATTTTTTTCCCCTTGCCACTTTCTCAGACTTTGACAGCCCCCCTTTTTAATTGTGTATGGTTTCATCTTCATCTCTAGAAACTGCACTGTGTTACCTTCTCTAGAAGGGACAGTCCTGGAATCTTTAGGATCTGATTGTAAACAGGCTGTGAGGCTGGGATTCTGACCAGTGCAGGGGTGCCCTTCCCCACCCGCCAGTCCCCAAGGGGAGGAGCTTCGCTGCCCACAGCCGTGGGCTCTGACCCTGGCCTTGGCGGCCTCGTGTCGCGGTTACCGCCTGTCCTGTGTAAGATGCAAAGCTGTGTGTATCCAGGCAGCACCAAGCGGTGAGAGGGCTGAGCCCACCTGGTAGTTGCTGGTTTCCTTTCCTGTGGGGTGTGCTGAGAGCTGGGTGCTCAGGAAACACCATGCGAAGGTGGCAGTGCAGAGAACGTGCTTTTTTCTGTCAGATGACTATCTCAGCACCTCTCACAAAGAAGCCTGGCCACCCTTTTTACTACGAGCATGTGCTGCTTTCTCCACTACCAAAAATATGAAGAGTAAACAAAAGCTTCAGAGGTGGATGGGGATGTCAGCCTACTGATGAGGTTCACTTGATGTGCTAGTACCCCCTACATAGTGACTGCCTAAGAGAAGTGCAGACTCGGAGATGTTTACCCTGGGGGAGGCCCTCGAACATGCACGCTGGGACTCTCCCTTAGAACCCCCAGGATGTGAGCTGCTGTCTGTCCTCTGTGGCAAAGGTCCTGGTGTCTTAGAAATGGCTTGTTCTGTGTGTGGGCCAGGCTGTAATTACTAGCATAGTCATGCTTTTATTGGCTGCACTCTTTTTCTGAGTTTTGTTTCTGAAGCTACTCAGGATAAGCCTGCCCCGTCTCCTGCATGACAGCCCTCAGGATAGTTGGGGACCCAGTACCAGTCTCTCTTTCGGCCGCACGAGCTGGCCAGGCCTGCTGGCCCACCCTGCCATACAGCGACAGCCCACACAGCTGCTCACCTTCGCGGCCATCGGAACTTGCCTCCCTGTCTCTCCCCCCCACTTTGGTTTTGATCAACAGCCTTTTCCACCTTTAGTCGTGGCTCTGCTGCTGTCTGGCTCCTCCCCAGGGACCACTGACAGTGCTCTTAGAAGCCAGGCCCACGTGGGCCCACTTTCAGCAGCCTGTAGACCGTCAGTCCCTCCCCACTGACCTTGGGCTTCAGGCCCCTGCTAACCACAGGGAGCAGAGGCAGTGCATATTGCATAGTGCGCACCAGCCACACGCAGCACCTGCCTCTCACAGGTTTGTTTGGATTAAGTGTACACAGCAAAAGGGTTTTTATGGTAGGTGGTGGGGGCAGCATCTTTGGCATTGCTTGGCATCTTTGGCATCTTATAAACTAGCTTGTCCTAAGCTTTAATCCCTCTCCTGCTCTCCGCTTTACAAGGGTCTGTGTTCCCACCCAGTGACTAGTCTGTTACACACCTTCTTTCCAGTGCAGTGATAAAGGATCTCCAGCCCCCTCCCTTATCAGCGTCCTTTTGGGCCCTTCTAAGCAGAAGTAGTCACATTATACTGTCGGCTGAAATCTAAATGGTTGTTGTATTAAGATAGTTTATTCAGAGTGTTACTGAGGCCATGACCTGCGGTAACAGTCCATCAGAGAGGGTTATGGTCAGACTGCTCCGAAGCCCTTTGCCTGGGGTCAGCCTATATGCCTTTTTACAACACTGGGTGCTGCAGGAAAGAGTTTGGTTGCATTATCAGTGTATCAGCCATGTCCCAAGGACACATCTACTAAGTGTCCTAAAAGAGCAAGCTGCACATTTGGATGCCATGTATGTGAGGGAGCAAGGATTAGGGCTATTCCCTGTTCTGAGGAATCCCATTGAGGACATGAGCACCATATTTCTGCCCAGTTTATCCGTTTTGGGGCTGTTTTTCCTCTGGGCCTTTCCTCAAGGCTTGGGAGCCTTGCTGACTCAGGCAGAAGGGCTGCAGAGCGTCCGCCCAGCATGGCGAGCATCCTGCTGACTTTGGCCCCCACCAGCTTGTTGGTGAGACCTCACAACATGAAGAAGCTATGCCTCTGATCAAGGAGCCTAGCAAAATCCAGCCGGACAACAGTGGTGGGAGGGGGAGCAGCAGGGAGGTTGGCAGTGAGGCTGAAAGAGGATCCGAGACGTTAGCAAGCGCCCGCCCGTGGGGCCCAAGACCGCAGGAGGAAACCCCAGCAGGGCCCGACTTCCTAACTTGGCTTCGTGTCACCTCTGCAGGTCCCTGGGCACCCAGCGGCCAGCCTCTCATGAGGCTCAAGTGAAAGGGGCCGGGTGAAGGGCCCCCGCCCTGTCTGCGGACAGAATGACCAAAACCTGCCTTGTACGCCTGTGGCTGGTCCTGGGGTCTGTGTTCATGATCCTCCTGATCATTGTGTACTGGGACAGCGTGGGCGCCGCCCACTTCTACCTGCGCACCGCCTGGTCCAGGCCTCGAGCCTCGGAGCCCCGCCCCAGCCCCGGGCAGCAGGAAGGGAAGGAGTTCGCCTCCGACGTGGACGAGTTCTTGGACAAGCTGCTGCGTGCAGGCAGGAAGCAAAGCGTCCTTTCTGGTAGGAGTGTGGAGCAGCCCTCCCTGCTGGTGTCCAGCAAGCCAGTGCTGAGCGCCATGGAGGAGAGTGTGAGGGGCTATGACTGGTCCACACGGGGCGCCCCGCAGAACCCAGACCCCGATGGGCGGCAGGCCAAGAGGAGGAGCGTGCTCCGTGAGTTCTGCACCAACACCAGCTTCATGTTCCCCGCCAAGGAGCGCTCCTTCGACGACATCCCCAACTATGAGCTGAACCACCTCATCGTGGACGACCGCCATGGGGTCATCTACTGCTATGTGCCCAAGGTGGCCTGCACCAACTGGAAGCGTGTCATGATCGTCCTGAGCGAGAGCCTCCTGGACCAGGGCGCCCCGTACCGCGACCCCCTGGACATCCCGCGGGAGTACGTCCACAACTCCAGCACCCACCTGACTTTCAACAAGTTCTGGCGTCGCTATGGCCGGTTCTCCCGCCACCTCATGAAGATCAAGCTGAAGAAGTACACCAAGTTCCTCTTTGTGCGGGACCCCTTTGTCCGCCTCATCTCGGCCTTCCGCAGCAAGTTCGAGCTGGAGAACGAGGAGTTCTACAGGAAGTTCGCCGTGCCCATGCTGAGGATGTACTCCAACCACACCAGCCTGCCCGCCTCTGTCAGTGAGGCCTTCAGCGCGGGCCTCAAGGTGTCCTTCACCAACTTCATCCAGTACCTGCTGGACCCCCACACTGAGAAGCTGGCACCCTTTAACGAGCACTGGCGGCAGGCGCACCGCCTCTGCCACCCCTGCCAGATCGACTATGACTTTGTGGGGAAGCTGGAGACACTGGACCAGGACGCCGCCCAGCTCCTCCAGCTTCTCAGAGTGGACAAGCTGCTCCGCTTCCCCCCGAGCTACCGCAACAGGACTGCCAGCAGCTGGGAGGAGTACTGGTTTGCCCAAATTCCCCTGGCCTGGAGGCAGCAGCTCTACAAACTCTATGAGGCAGATTTTGTTCTCTTTGGCTACCCCAAGCCTGAAAACCTGCTTAGAGACTGAAGGCACCAGCAGGGGAGATAACCCCAGACAACAAATGCATGGGCTTGCATTGCTGCTTCGGAGCCCAGTGGGCATCTGCTGGCCCTCGCTGGCCTCCTGACCATGCAGTGGCAGTTGCCATGCGTGTTTTTTATGCTTTGTTACCCTCTCAGCCCAACACATTGCAGAGTCCGTAGTGCTTCTGCTGACAAGGCCACTGAGGCCCCTGGAGCCAACCACACCCATGCTCTGGTATTTTAAATGACCTATGATATTGCAAGCTGGACTTACTGCTCACTCCACTGCCTGTATTCCTTGAGTACTGTATTAATATTGTTTTTTAAGATTAATATATTTCAGATATTTAATATGAAAACTGGAGAAGGAAGTGATGGAGTAAAGTGTTACATCCACCCCTTGCCTGCTCTTGTGGTTTTCTGGTAGAGCAGCAGATGCCCTTCACAGGGCAACGGGCACTTTAAAAGGCTGACACTTCGGCTCAGGGACTCAGTTAAAGGAGGGAGGTTTCCTGGTTGCAGCAGAAAGACGGACCTAATTTTGGAATCAGGCTTTATTTTTGAAAGAGTAGCCTACAAATCCGCAATAGTGGAAGTTCTCTTATTAGGTGATGTATCCTAAAGGGAAAGAAGTTTAAATAGGGTTTGATATTTGAGATGAAGTCAGAGGTAAGCCAGACTTCAAGGTCACAGCTACAGAAGTAGGATTTTTAACTGCAGCCTTTCCTTTAATCACAGGATTAATCCTTTAATCCTTCCTATAAATCACAGACATAAGGACAGGAATGGTGTGGGCAGGAGTTTGTCCCTCAGTCACATGCCCTGACGTCAACAAAGTAAGGCTCTGCTGTTGTTTTCATCGCTGACCTGGCAGTTTGGGTTCTGCTCCTGAGAGGTTCACCCTTGATGTGAGTGACCCGGGGTCATTGTGGTTGATGGCCCTGACTTGGTAAAGGCATCTGCCAGTTCAGGGAGGTTCCTTCTAAACATTTTGTTCAAATGCCTTTGTGGTTTCCTGTGGACCTGTAATGGGGAGAAATCTGCAGTCAGCTCCTGGCTTGGGCATTGTGGCTGCCTTTGCCTCCTCCATCTCTGCATTTGGTCCCCGGTGCCCAGTTCCTGATGAGCTGGCTCCTAGAAGTGCTCCTCTCAGGTCTCCATGGTGTGTGGGGACCTTGCTTTCCTGGCATCAAGGTGGCACTGAGGCTTGTTTAAGCCCATGGCCTCTGCATGCTCTCCTGACACACCCAGGGCTCTACAAGTGCTATAAACCGCCTGCTTTCCTTTCCAAAGCCCAGCAGAGAAACTCAGACCTGAGTGTCCAGTTTTAATATAACTGAAGAGATATTGTCACTTTGGATGTCTGTTGGGACACCTGTTCACTCAGTGGTTGTCTGTGGCACCTCATGTCCTGACCTCAGGATGCCAAGTGGGCCAGCTGGCTCTGCCTTTGGGGAACTCTGTGGTCCTACAGTGTGAAACGAGAGCAGGGACCCCTGGTCTCAGGCCAGTGGGCTGAGTGGCTTCAAGAACCAAGCATGCGCAGAATAAGAGAGAGGAAAGCAGGCTCCCTGAGGGCAGTGGTGGTTTCGGAGCAGAGCACATGGCATTGCAAAAGCTCAGGGCGTGTGTGGAGACAGCAGATGCAAACCTCTGGTGTTCTTTACACAGTGTGTTGTGTGTCACGTCCTCTCTTCTCTGAAGCCGATGCATTACCAGTGCTCTTTTCTCCAGGGAGGACACTGAGTAGCAGAGATGGGGTGCAGCCGGGACTTGGCTGCAGGTGTACCCTGAGCCTGCACAATTCACCGTTACCCCACAGGGATGGGGACAGGGACATGCCAAAAGGACAGGTGGCTGAGTGTGTAGTCTGGCAGCCTTGGCCACCAGGCCTTGGAGTTGAGCTTCCACTTAGGCAGCGGTGAGCTGTGGAGGTGTTTGATAAAGGAATTACGGTGCTTCGGGATCAGGCTGGTGTTGGGAGTGGAGTGGAGGGCCCAGGAGGCCGGCTAGCACGTGATTGCATGCCCAGCAGAGAAGGGGCCTCGCAGGGGATGCCAGTGTGAAGGCGTCAGGAGGCACCCTGGGTGCTAGAAGAAGGGTCTGTTGAAAGGAAGAGGCCTTTGTTTTGTCTGAGAAAAGATCGTCATTCAGATATTGTGGGACAGAGCAAGATGAGCTGTGAGGAGCATGGCTGTGTGGATGGCTTGCCCCATGCAGCTCCATTTGAAAGCACACGGCCCAGCAGTATTTCCAGGACTCACGTCCCATGGGCTTTATAACAGCGGACCCTCTGCTTTCAAGTGTGGACAATGGCACAGCTTATTAAGTTTAAATCTCCTGCCCATCCACTCTGTGCCTAGCGTGGGGCCTGACATGGTGTGGGCACACGGTGACTGTTTATCAAGGGAATGAGTGAGGGAATGATGCCATTCAAGCCCTGCTCTGGCCTGTGAGCCAGGAGGGCTGCTGTCACCCCCTCCATGGGTTTAATAAGGTGAGGTTGAGTGACTGGCCCTACGTGGGTGTAGAGCTTACCCTGTCTGATGTCTGGCGCTTTCAAGGCACCAAGTCTAGGGGCTCATGAGGGCAGGTAGCGGTTGATTGCCCCTCTGTCTCAGAAAATAACACTGTGTCCTTTCATCCCCATCTGGTAGCCCCTCTAACCAAGGGAAGAAGCTGCCCTGCCCTCCTTCCAGAGAGTGAGGATTGCTGTGTCCACGGGCAGATGCCCTCTGCCGAGGCAGTTCCTGCTAACCAGGAGCCAGCGGGCTGCCCTCTCCCTCCCCACGGCCCCTCCCCCCCTGCCTGTAGGCAAGGCCTGAGGCTGGAGAGCAGAGCGTAGGATGCAGGCAGGCTGGCCCAGCCCTGGGGGGAGCAAGGATGCCTGTCATGCACAGTGGGCCTGCAGGCAAGGTGTGCGCTCTATGTGCGCTCTATGAGCGCTCTGGGCCTTTTCCCCAGCAGGTCCTCAGCTGTCCCAGGCACGTGCCACACATTAGTGACCTTGGTTGCAGCCTGTGGGGGACCAGCTGAGCCAGCCCTGTGTTAAACGTGGCACCAGATGGGTTCCCATGGCAGGACGTCGGGCTGCATGGAGGCCTTGGAGTCTTCTTGGGTTTCTGTGGAAGGAAGCCTGGCTGTTGGTGGGACTTCCTCCCCGGGCATATGCTCTCCCTGGTCAGAAGGGCCGCGTGAGGCTCTTGGGCCGGCTTGCGGCCGCTCCTGCTTGGAGTCCACGCCCTGCAGACGACCAGGCTCCCAGCTGTCACACAGACCTGAGGGCCCTTACCCAAGTGAAGTGCCCAGTCAGAGTTACTGCTCGTTCATTTATAAACTCACATCCTTTTCTGCCAGCCCCACACTCCAAACCCTAGAAATAGGAAAAGGTGAAACTTGAATAGCAAGACATAATTAATCTGCCAAGTGTTTAAATGTTTCTTCCAAAGGGGAAATTTGGAATGATCACGAATGGTAAGCATCTGTGAGTTTTTGCCAACACACGTTCCTCCTTCCCACCACCCCAGTGCCCTCAGCAGGAAACCTCTGGGAAGGGTCTCTGCCAGGCTGATGGAACAGACCAGGAGTAGCATGACCAGCTGTGCGATTCAGCAGAGCCCCACAGAGACTAAGGCCCCAGTGTGAAGTCACGGGGACACACGGCTGAGACTGGCCCCCTACACTCTGTGGGTGAGGGGCCGGTGGGCCTCCACTTGTTTAGGCTCATCTGAGAGGGTTTCTGGAACTTAGTACGGGAGCCTGACTCACCATTTAATCACCACTTTAGCACCTGCCTGGGGTGAAAGGTGCCCCATTCACGAGGAGAAGCCACGTGACCTGAGTGTGGAGATAATTGTTCACATATTTATGAGCATTGTGAATCTACGTTTTTTTACTCTTCCAAGAGCCAGTGACAGGGCAAAGGTCCCCTGTTGGGATACCACTTCAAACCAGCAGGGAGATGAATGAGGGACTGGGATACTTTCCCCCTTGGGAATCGTGTCTTCACCCATCGTCCAAAAAGAAGCTAACGAGGAGTGTCACCTGGTTTGACCTCACGTCTGTATTTGCCCTTGGCTGCCTCTGGTACAAGCCAGATGCTGCCCCTCAGGCCCGCCTGAGACGGTTCAGCCGGCTGTCCTGGGCACCATGTGGATGGCATTTGCTCACGGTGACTGCTCCGTCATGCTTGTGTGATGAGAGTCTGTTGGGCGACTGTGTCCATGATGAATGAACACAGTCTTCCTCCTGCCTTCTGTAGGTCATGGATTCTTAGCACAGAGCTTGAGGCCCTGCCTGAAGGCTGGCAGGCTGGTAGGACTGTGAGTGTATGCTGTGAGTGTTTGCAGAGGTGGGCCTGAGAAGTGCAGCTCCAGTCTTTGGGGGAGTGTTGGCCTGAGCTGAGAGTCAGAGCCTGGGCATCTGCAACTTCCGGGGCCCCTTGGCGGGGCCGCTCAGGACAGGTGCAGACTGAGTGGGAAAGGCCCTAAATGTGGAGGAGGGGCTTCCTTCAAGGCACAGGTGGTGCTGGCCCAGCTGGCTAGCGAGGTGCCCTGAGGTTGCCAGGCCAGTGGGCAAGGCGACTGCATGTACTCCCTTCATCCTCCTTTGTGTGGTAACATGGCGTCACACGGGTAGAAAGGTTTTGTACCTCAGAAGAAGAGCACCACCTCTCAGGCAGGTGTAACAGAACATCTGGTGAGAGCCTGGAACTGCTGTGGTGCTGCTGTTCATACCTGATGAGTCCCGGGCAGGGGGCCAGCCATACTCTGCTTGGCCGTTTCTGCAGGCCTGAGAAACCACCGCCATGTGTGTGGCTGTCAGGCAGCCTGCCCAGCACACTTTGAAGCCCCTGCGTGGAGAAAGCTCAGGAGCCATCTCTTTCCCAAGTACCTTCCAGAACGTTAGGTTGGCTAGCAGAGAACAGCTGTCCTTTCTGGTTTTTGGGGCGATGTTCAGCTTACGAAGTGCTTGGTGAGTGCCCTGACCTTGGTCAGCGGAGGCCGGCCAGCCAGGCTCCACTGGGGGATCCCCACAGGCCCTGGAGGGACAGCCAGAGCGAGAGGGGCAGGGAACAGAGATTCACGCAGGCATCCAGGCCCCAGAGGCGAAGGGCAGGGCAGCTGCTGCTTCCTGACATCCAGATGGACCCAGCCTGCTGGCCCAGGGAGCCACCTCCAGGGAGCCAGCGAGGGGCCAGGCAGTGACTTCCAACCTCAGGGCTTCTCCTGGAATGCAGTTCCTCTTTTAAGCAAGTTTGGATTAGAAACATGTAAAATGCTTTTGTCACCCAGTAGCATAACAGTGATAATAATAAAGTTATTTATTTTATCATTAGATGGCTGCAGTCCTGTTTAGGAGAATGGGTTTCTCACAAGAAAAAACAGGTAGGCCTT